TTCCACAAAAATTTAAAAAAAATGCGCTATTGTGGCCACTTTGTCCGTCCGTCCGTCCGTCCGTCCGTCCGCTAACTTTGCGACGCTACTAGTTTTTTATCTTTAGAGCTATTGTTCTACTTTTTTCGCTATTTGGTTCGTTATGGTGTCGAGTCTTGTACCAAGGAAGGAATTTTTTCTGTACCGCTTACAAAAAAAGTTATTGTAAAAAAAACAAAAAATCGTTTTTTACATGTTCCATAATTTTACACTTTTGCCGTTTATTAACGATCCTAGAGATCGTTTATAATTTTGCATTGCTGTCTGTCGTCTGCCTGTTGGTCTGTCCGTCTGTTCTTTGTCTGTCTGTCCCTCTATCTGTCCGTGTGAACGATAACTTTGTTTAGAAATGTCCGATCGCTTTTACATCTCCGTTAGTTATGAACTGAATTGCATGAAATTCAATATGGGCATAGATTTAGCCATATAATACGCAATGCCAAAAGTTGAATCGAATCGATTCAAAATTCACAGTGCCCTTTTCGCATCTCGACCATTTATAAACCGAAATGCAAACTTTTTTTACTTATAAAAGTATTTGAATGAAATTTGATACATAGGCACTTGGAATAAAGGAAAATCAAACGCCAATTTCAAAATTTGGTTTTGCGCATGCGCAGTGCCAACTTTTTATTTATGGAAGAATTTAAACGAAATTTGATACATAGGCACTTGGGATAAAGGAAAATCAAACGCCAATTTCAAAATTTGGTTTTGCGCATGCGCAGTGCCAACTTTTTTATTTATTGAAGAATTTAAACGAAATTTGATACATAGGCACTTGGGATAAAGGAAAATCAAACGCCAATTTCAAAATTTGGTTTTGCGCATGCGCAGTGCCAACTTTTTTATTTGCGGAAGAATTTAAACGAAATTTGATACATAGGCACTTGGGATAAAGGAAAATCAAACGCCAATTTCAAAATTTAGTTTTGCGCATGCGCAGTGCCAACTTTTTTATTTATGGAAGAATTTAAACGAAATTTATACATAGGCACTTGGGATAAAGGAAAATCAAACGCCAATTTCAAAATTTGGTTTTGCGCATGCGCAGTGCCAAATTTTTTATTTATGGAAGAATTTAAACGAAATTTGATACATAGGCACTTGGGATAAAGGAAAATCAAACGCCAGTTTCAAAATTTGGTTTTGCGCATGCGCAGTGCCAACTGTTTTATTTATGGAAGAATTTAAATGAAATGTGATACATAGGCACTTGGAATAAAGAATCATCGAGCGCCAGTCTCAAAATTTTCTTTTGCGCATGCGCAGTGCCAACTTTTTTATCTATGGCACCATTTAAGTGAAATTTGATACTTAGGCGCTTGGAACAAAGGAAAATCTAAAAATGTTTTTAAATTTAGGTTTGCGCATGCGCAGTTCCAACTTTCTTATTTAGAAAAGCATTGAAATGAAATTCTTCTCATAAACTGAAATTGAAGTAACACGTCAAAAATGGATTGCCCATGTGCAACGCTATTTTCATATTTGTGGCCGGATTTTTACGATTTTAACAGAAGTTGCATCTTACAAATGGGAAATGAATGCAAGTGGAAATGCGCTTTATGTAATTCGTTTACGATTACTTTTTAACTTGTT